AGATGATCACAATGGTCCCTTCTGATCTTAAAATTTGTTAGTTTAAAGCCCAATAACCATCTGCCTTGACCTTATTCCTCGTCTCCAATTCCCCACCAGCATATTAGCAGGCCACTTTCTTATAGAACCTGCTGTGTGCTGTGAATACATTTGAAGAAGCCTTTGCTGACGCAGTCTCTGCAATACAACATACATCACTTGCCTTTGCTTCTCTAGTTCCTCTTATCATTTCATAGAGCTCTTCTCTTCCTTCTTAGCAGGTTGTTTTATAATAATGTCCACATACAGTTTGCAGGGCCTGGGGGGTTGTCAAAACTTGCTACAAAGATTCCAAAGAAATAGAGTCTAGTACTGACTGAGCCAGTGCATCTTCCCGTAAAGGAAGATGGACCAGTCTCACAAAGGAGAAAGAAATAATGAGCTTGAGCTGTATAGCAGCATCTCCTTTTAAGGGAAATGATGTGTGGGATCAAAACGCTGCTAGCAGAGCGGTGAGGGGAGGGGAGGGGAGGGACGGGACATCGTAACCTACGATTCTACATGGTTGCTGGCTTCTTTGTAGGATATTATGGGAAGGTCTTTTTTCTAGTGTCTATTTCTAGATAAGCCATAAATTCCATGTCAACTGGGCTCTGAAGTATAAATACAAATATGGACATGCCTCAGCCCCTGATTACAAGGTATGTCACCTGCATAGACCCTCCCCCCCAAAAAAAATCTAAATCATTCATTGGTATAAATTACTGCCAATGAGAATGCCAAGTCAGGAAAGGGAAACAGTAGTATTCACCTTCGAGAAATGAAACTATCTTGCTTCCTAGTCTTTTCTTTGTCATGCCCCTCCCTGAGAGTTTCTTCATTACTCTTTCCAAGCTGCTATCATGCACATGGGTCCATAAACACTGAGGGCTATGGGTTTTAGTGGTGGGGTAGGAGAAGGGGAACTGGAACAGGGAACTTACTTAGAAAAGTTAGATGTCTTCAAGTCACCAGGTCCTGATGAAATGCATCCTAGAATACTCAAGGAGCTGATAGAGGAGGTATCTGAGCCTCTAGCTATCATCTTTGAAAAATCATAAGTCGGGAGAAATACCAGAAGACTGGAAAAGGACAAAAATAGTGCCCATCTATAAAAAGGGAAATAAGAACAACCCAGGAAACTACAGACCAGTCAGCTTAACTTCTGTGCCAGGGAAGAAAATGGAGAAGTAATTAGGGAATTCATCTGCAAACATCTGGACAATAATAAGGTGATAGGTAACAGCCAGCATGGAATTGTAAAGAACAAATCTTGTCATACCAATCTGATAGCTTTCTTGGATAGGATATCAAGCCTTGTGGATAAGGGAGAAGCAATGGATGTGGTATACCTAGACTTTAGTAAGGCATTTGACAGTCTCGCATGACTACCTTATAAATAAACTAGGGAAATACAACCTAGTTGGGGCTACTAAAAGGTGGGTGCATAACTGGTTTGATAACGATTCTCAAAGAGTAGTTATTAATGGTTCACAGTCATGCTGGAAGGGCATAACAAGTGGGGCTCCACAGGGGTCTGTTTTGGGACTGGTTCTGTTCAGTATCTTCATCAATGATTTAGATGATGGCAGAGAGAATACGATTATTAAGTTTGCAGATGATACCAAACTGAGAGGGTTTGCAAGTACTTTGGAGGATAGAGTCAAAATTAAAAATGATCTGGACAAACTAGAGAAATGGTCTGAGGTAAATAAGATGAAATTTAATACGGACAAATGCAAAGTACTCCACTTAGGAAGGGACAATCCATTTCACACATACAGAATGGGAAGTGACTGTCTAGGAAGGAGTATTGATGAAAGGGATTTAGGAGTCATAGTGGAGCACCAACTAAATATAAGCCAACAGTGTGACTGTTGCAAAAAAAAGCAAACATGATTCTGGGATACATTAACAGGAGTGTTGTGAGAAAGACACGATAAATCATTCTTCTGCTCTACTCTGTACTGATTAGGCCTCAGTTGGACTATTATGTCCAGTTCTGGGCACCATATTTCAAGAAGGATGTGAAGAAATTGGAGAAGGTCCAGGGAAAAGCAACAAAATTATTAAAATTCTAGAAAATATGACCTATGAGGGAAGACTGAAAGAATGGGCTTGTTTGGGTTAGAAAAGAGAAGACTGAGAGGGGACATGATAGTGGTTCTCAAGTATCTAAAAAGGTGTCACAAGAAGGAGGGACACAGCTTGTTCTCCTTGGCTTCTGAGGATAGAGCAAGAAGCAATGGGCTTAAATTGCAGCAAGGGAGGTTTAGGTTGGACATTATGAAAAACTTTCTGTCAGGGTGGTTAAACACTGGAATAAATTGCCTAGGGAGGTTATGGAATCTCCATTTCTGGAGGTATTTAAGAGCAGGTTAGACAGACATCTATCAGGGATGGTCTAGATCGTGCTTGGTCCTGCCATGAGGGCAGAGGACTGGACTTGATGATCTCTCAAGGTCCCTTCCAGTTCTAGTTTTCTATGATTCTATGAAAATCTGAGTCACAAAAGGAGACAAGAGAGTGGCTTGAGAAGGGCGCTGGCAATCAGGAGTGCTGCATTCTGTTCTATTCCAGTTCCATTTGGTGGATGGATAACAGGCCCAGAAAGATTGATATTGGCTGCAGGTGTAGCAGAGTGAGATCAGCTAGGTCTACAGGCCCTCCTTTACCCCTCCTCCCCCGTTGCCAGTGTGGGGCCTATTTACTTCATCACACTGACTCCTCTTAAGCACAGAACGGGTGCTTAAATTTGCTTAAATTTAACACTTTACGAATGGGCCTTTAACAAAGATGCTAATTACCTTACCCATTACAAAGATAGCTTCCCCAATTATCACCCCTAATATCATTATCTCATAGATACTAGCTCTCCCCCTCACCCCTCTTCTGTTCTGATTTGTCAGTTTTATAATGTGTTCACTTTTTTTTCATTGTATTCCTTTGGTATATATGGTCATGCCAATTCTCTTCCAAAATTTGATCTGAGGAAGTGGGTCTGGCCCACGAAAGCTCATCACCTAATAAACCATCCTGTTAGTCTTTAAAGTGCTACATAGTCCTCTCTCTTGTTTCCTCTCACAAAGTCATTGAAGCTCCAGTGAACAAATGTTTAAGAGCACTGAAATCCTCCTATAGAAGGCATAGAATCATAGAACTGGAAGAGACCTCAGAAGGTCATCAAGTCCAGCCCCCTGCTCTAGGCAGGACCAATTCCAACTAAATCAACCCGGCCAGGGCTTTGTCAAGCCGAGACTTAAACACTTCTAGGGATGGAGACTCCACTACTTCCCTAGGTAACCCATTCCAGGGCTTCACTACTCTCCTAGTGAAATAGCTTTTCCTAATATCCAACCTGGACCTCTCCCACCACAACTTGAGACCATTGCTCCTTGTTCTGCCATCTGTCACTACTGAAAACAGCCTCTCTCCATCCTCTTTGGAACCTCCCTTCAGGAAGTTGAAGGCTGCTATCAAATCCCCCCTCACTCTTCGCTTCTGCAGACTAAACAGACCCAACTCCCTCAGCCTCTCCTCATAGGTCATATGCTCCGGCCTCCTAATCATTTTGGTTGCCCTCCGCTGGACCCTCTCCAGTGCATCCGCATCCTTTTTGTAGTGGGGGTCCAGAACTGGACACAATACTCCAGATGTGGCCTCACCAGAGCCGAATAAAGAGGAATAATGACATCTCTGGCTCTGCTGGCAATGCTCCTCTTAATGCATCCTAATATGCCATTAGCCTTCTTGGCTATAAGGGCACATTGTTGACTCATATCCAGATTCTCATCCACTGTAACCCCCAGGTCCTTTTCTGCAGAACTACTACTTAACTGGCTGGGCCCCAGCTTGTAACTATGCTTGGGATTCTTCCGTCCCAAGTGCAGGACTCTACACTTGTCCTTGTTGAACCTCATCAGATTTCTTGTGGCCCAATCCTCCAATTTGTCTAAGTCACTCTGGACCCTATCTCTGCCCTTAAGCATGTCTACCTCTCCCCCCAGCTTAGTGTCATCCGCAAACTTGCTGAGGGTGCAATCCATCCCCTCATCCAGGTCATTAATAAAGATATTGAACAAAACTGGCCCTAGAACCGAACCGTGGGGCCACTAGAAACCGACCACCATCCTGACATTGAACCGTTGATCACTACTCGCTGAGCCCGGCCTTCTAGCCATCTTTCTATCCATCTTACCATCCATTTATCCAATCCACATTCCCTTAACTTGCTGGCAAGAATATTGTGGGAGACCGTATCAAAAGCCTTGCTAAACTCAAGGTATATAACATCCACTTACTTTCCCATGTCCACCGAGCCAGTTACCTCATCATAGAAGCTAATCAGATTGGTCAGGCACGACTTGCCCTTTGTGAATCCATGCTGACTATTCCTAATCACTTTCCTCTCATCCAAGTGCCTCAAAATGGATTCCTTAAGGATCCCTTCCGTGATTTTTCCAGGAACCGAGGTAAGACTGACCGGCCTATAGTTCCCTGGATCATCCTTCTTCCCTTTTTTGAAGATGGGCACTACATTTGCCTTTTTTCCAATCATCCGGGATTTCTCCCAATCTCCACGACTTTTCAAAGATAAGGCAGTGGGGAAGGGCAGTGAAAAAAATGCAGCTAAAAATTCATACACTTGCAATGAGCTTCAACCTCTAAAGCATTAATAGTTTTTTATACAATACCATGGCATTATTTATTATGTTTATTGCACCATGTCCTCATGTGCTAGGCACTATATAAACATAAGAGCAATAGAAAGTCCCTGCCCTGCAGGGCTTACAGTCTAAAACAGACAAAACAGACAGTGGGTAGCAGAAAAGGGTCTCCAAAGTGAGCAGAGTGACAGTGTGCAGTGATGTCATGTGAGTGCTACCATTTTGTTGTTGGGGGTTGGGGGGAGGAGGGCAGGTTATTAGCACCAGAGAAACGCTCAAGTTATTGGCCTTTTCTTAAACTGTCTTTTTTTCCAGGAACCCTGGCAGGAAATTTGTTGGTAACACAGTCCAATGTAGACTTTCCTTCCATTTCATCGAAGGGGGTAGGGTCAAACTAGCAGTTGAAGATGCAGGAGCCAGTTTCTGGAGATGCGAATGTGGTCCCTACCCCATTGAGAGTGTCAGAGATGAACCCAGCAGCCAACCCTCGACGTATGCGACGGATCATTGCTGAGGACCCTGAGTGGTCCCTGGCCATTGTTCCCCACCTCAGTGAGCTCTGCCTCCAGCACATCGTCAACAACTTTGAAAGTAAGCCATGGTCCCTTCCCCACAGAAGACTGGCTGACAGCATTGTTATACCATAGGAGGTGGGGGATAGTGGGGCAGGCTCACACTTGAATCTTCAGTGCTGCTAAGCTCAAAGAAAGGGGAAGAAATTGGACAGAAGAAAAAAAATCTCTCTTGATGTGCAGGATCTAGTCGTGTCCATGTAACACCATTGGTTTCCATTGAGTTACACAGTGTCAAATGGTAAAAAAAACTTACGTCAGGAGGTCCGGATTAGAATATTACTCACCATGATATTTCTAAGGGGATTGGATTAGTCAAAATACCCCCTCAGTCTCAGAATGCCTTTGAGAGTAACCTCTCCCTGTCCTTATTTCCTACAGAGAATCCTATTGTGAATCATCTCTTACCAGAGCACCAAAGAAAAGTGCTGGACAGGATCTCCACAGGCCTGCCCCTCACAGTGACTGCCAACCTGATCAGTGATGAAGACTACTGGAAGAGGTGTTGCATTGAGCGCTGGGCGGTGTGTGATGTCTCCCATTACGGGGCCAGTTGGAAGCGGATGTTCTTTGAGCGCCACCTGGAGAACATCCTGAAATATTTCATCCCTAACACAACAGACCCCAACCAAGTCCTGGACATCATCCCGCTCTGTAAAGAGTATGTGAGGAAGCTGGAAATAGATCAGTTCCTGCCACCGGTGAAGCTGGATCAGAAGAAGGAAGAGGATGACATGTCTGATTCTGGGAGTGATGTTGGGCTTGATGAATTCTGCATGCATCACTATGACCTAGGAGTGCTCACTGCTGCCCTCTCTCACCTAGAAGAGCTGCATCTAACGTACGGTGTGAAAGACTGTGGCATGAACTTTGAGTGGAGCCTCTTTGACTTCACCTATAAGGACTGCTACTCTCTGGCCAATGCTTTCAAGAAGTGCCGCGCCTTAAAAGTAACTTACCCCAAACTGATTTTTTAACATTTAAATTTTAAAGTATAAGTTAAAACAGTGACAGAATTCCCTGGCAAAGACGCAAGAGACCAGTTTTACTTGCTGCTCACCATTAGTCTTCCCAGTCCAGTGGGTGGCTTCCAAGTGTTTGACTCAAATAGTTTGGCTGTCTTTAGCAAACTTTCTAATTTGGTGCCTAAGTGTATTCATTGGTGCAATTAACTATAATATGTAGGGGCTCCAGCCAAATCACAAAATCTGGTAGTGTATTTTAAATGCATTTGATGCCACACAATGGGCAAAATTAAGAGTTAGTAATAAGCAGGTCTGTTACTCCACGAGGAGTAACGGTAGTTTGAATTAGAGATCCTAATTCGAACTACCTACTCGGTGCCGCGTGTAGCCGCGGGCACGGAGTCCGCACTAAGGAGGATTTGAAATGGCGGCGCCCGGCAAGATGCAAATGAAGCCTGGGATATTTAAATCCCGGGCTTCATTTGCAACTTCGAATGCCTACATTAGCCACCCTAGTTCGAACTACGGTGGCAGTGTAGACATACCCTTAGAGGTTAACATTTGAGGTTTAGGTGGATTTAGCATTGCCCTTTAGGGAGAATAGGTGCCCAATTATCTTTAACTTTCATTTGAACTGGGGCACCTTTCGACTTTTTGCAGATCCTTGTCAAAATGATGGTAGTTGCTGTGCCAACAAGTGTAACTATATTATTCTCCCACAGGTCTTCAAGCTGTGCCGGAGCAAAGTGGATGATGAAAAGGCCCGGCTGCTCATACGGAATTTGTTAGATCACCCATGCTTGGTGGAGCTGGACTTCTCCCACAATCTGATTGGGGACCGAGGAGCACGAGCCATTGGCAAGCTGATCAACCGCAGCAAGTTAAAAATTCTCACTGTGTGTAATAACCGGATCCGAGCCCAAGGAGCCCAGGCTATTGCTCATGCCCTAGCCAAGAATTCTACGCTGACCTCTCTGAATCTGCGCCTCAACTGCATTGAGGATGAGGGTGGCCAGGCAGTAGGCCATGCCCTGCTGACTAATGCCACCTTGACATCTATCCATCTGGGAGGCAATGAATTGTCAGAGCCGACAGCTACGCTTTTCTCCCAGGTCCTTGCTCAGAACACAGCTCTAACTAGCATCAACCTTGCATGCAACCACATAGGTGTGGTAAGTAGCTTTCCCCCCAAAAGGAGAAATTGCTTCTGTCTGCTGCCATCACAGCAGCAAGTGCAGTCAAAGCATCTGTCTAGGTGATTTTACATAAAGCAAATTCAGAGCTGCTTTATTTTGTGAATTGCTGCCCCTTGCCAAAGATCCAAATGTATCTCCATCACACAACTGCCACGGTGGTCTTGCTTTGATGATTGTAAGTTATTGACAGTAGAGAAGCTGACGCTACAGCAAGTATCACTAAGGAAAAGAATCCCTCATTGTTTCACACTCCCTGCGTTCTCTATGTAATGAGACCCTCAAGATGAACCTGTATTTTGTGAATTTGGCCTTTAGGAGATTGAAAGGTTTGCTCCCACATTAAAGAGAGGCCCAGGACATTCAGAGAATATTTCTGAGACTGTCATGGGCACACTCCATACTGGGGAAATGGCTTGCAGAGTAGAAGTTGGGGCTAAGTAAATAACATAAATGGTGATATGGGTTTGCTAAAGCCATGTGAAATTCTGATTTAGAGTGGCATCTGTCTTGTTCAACATGTTTCTCGGTAGTGCACAAAAACAAAGGCATCACCCTCATAAATCCTCTCTGGTATCAATATTCAGATCAGCATTGTTAAAAAACTGGCTCACTTGCTGAATTTCCATAAGCTTCAGCACTGAACCGCACTATGGCTTTGGCCAAAGTTTTTAAATCTGCATACCTAATATTCCAGTCCGAAATTCAAGTGGCCTGATTTTCAAACCTGGTGGGCATTCACAAATCCCATTGAAATCACTGCTGGTGCTCAGCTTCTCTGAAAATCAGGTCATTTCTTTTTAGTTGCCTCCATATGGTTAAAGAATCTTAAATCTAGGCAGCTATATTTGAAAATGTCCTGTAAGCTTTCTTTGCCTCAGTTTCCCAAGAAATATAATAGAAGTAAAACTGTCTGTACCAGTTTCCCCACTTTATGAGGGAGCTGACAATTTATTAGCTAATCTTTTTGAAGAGGTTTGAAGATGGCAAGCATTTTATTAGTTTTAATTCTTATTAGCCTATAAATAGCAAAGAGCACTAGAATGTAACAGTACAAGGAGAAAAGGGTACTCTAAAGGGTTGAGGTTTATAATTGGAAATAACCCCAATGCAAAGTACATTCTATCCAAGGATCTCAAAGCACTTTACAGATGTTAGTTAGTGAAGTCCCAGCACACCCTGAGAAGTGGGGTCAGTATTACTATACCTTCTTATTAGCCTATAAATAGCAAAGAGCACTAGAATGTAACAGTACAAGGAGAAAAGGGTACTCTAAAGGGTTGAGGTTTATAATTGGAAATAACCCCAATGCAAAGTACATTCTATCCAAGGATCTCAAAGCACTTTACAGATGTTAGTTAGTGAAGTCCCAGCACACCCTGAGAAGTGGGGTCAGTATTACTATACCTGGTTT